TCCCCCGCATGGCTGGACTTTCCAGCCCCCAGAAGGGGCCCCCAGAATCCCCCGGGACTTCCCAGCCCTTGGGCGTGTGTCTCTTGCTGCCCTCCCAGACCTGGCAGTCGGAGTCCAAGGCGGCCTCCGTTTCTTGCCTGTCTCGGAAGAGTCTTGCCAGGCTTCCCAGCCCATTTCTCGGCAGATGAGTTAGATAATAGGCTGGCCGGGGAGGATGGGACTCATAACCCAAGATAACCAGGCAGAAGAAATGTGTTCCAGACCTTATCCGAAAAGTTGGAGCCGGGAGTGAGGATGATGGGGGCAGAGTTGGGGGCTGTTGCCCTGGCTCTGAGGAGGATGGGTTGGGGAGTGGGGGGCTCATTTTCCTGGCTTTCCCCAGCTGGCTGACCATTCTTGGTCTGGCCTCTCCCTCTCGTTTTTCCCTTCTCTCTTTCCTTGTCCTCTGAAAATCCATTCAGAAACAGAGACAGAAATTATGTCTTGGAACGAGGCCATTTCTCCTGCTTGAGGGGCTGGGATCGGACTGGTGGTGCTGTCCAGCCAAACACACGAGAAGTCTCAGAAAAAAGCTGTATGGAAAAATGACTTAAAAATCGAAGCACATCGATTTAAAACACATGAGAGATGGAGGGAGGGAAATCAGGAAGAACTCAAGCGCTCCAAGATGTAGAATGTGCTTTCTTGGAGCACGTTAATAAGAAGTTGGGCAGTTTAGGAATTATTTTATACTCCCCTAATATGTTCCTCTCTAGCTTTGGTGGGGGAGCCCCAAGTCCAGTAATCTTTCTTCTTTAGGCAGTTGCTCCAGCGAGTTTAACGTTTGAATTGTACTTTTCTGTTTTTGTTTCTGTTCCACGGCCAAAAAATCAGTTCAAAAAATGAAACGCATAGAATTAAAAATGAATAATTTTGTAGTTCTTTTCCACTTTCTCTGGCCAGACTTACAGAGTATGCCAGGCATGGGCCCATAATAGATTTCCGATATTGGCAAATTACCTTCAGGTCCCCTGCAACAGTTCTGAGCGTGGAAGGGCCACTTTCACTCCAGGTCACCCCAGCTCAGACCCCATCTGTGCCCAACATACAGAGAGCCTCTTCTGCCAAATCTTGAAGCGGTCCTTGGGGTGGGGGCTCCTCACTGCCCCTCCCACCCTGAGCCACGTGGGACAATCAACAACGCTGGCTGCCTTGCGCCAGATCCAGATCCATCCAGGTCACCATCTGGATGCGTGTCCTTGGCAGAGGCCTCCCCAGATCCAGCCCCCTCCATCTGGGGCCACGCTCCTGGGCAGCTAAATTTCCCCATGAGGCATTGGGGACCTTTTCTGCAAAAGCCTTTTGAAGGCTGCGCCTGACGGCTCCTTCTGCAAGTAGCTCTTGGTGCCTTTTCTTCACAAGGAGCTTAAAAAGGTCTCTGCCCTGGCTCTTGTTAGCCTGACTTTTGCAGATTAATTTCTAGGAAGTTTCCAGGCTTGGTGGAGCTGCTGCCTGGGTGAGAGAATCTTGACTCAAGCGCAGAATAAGTAGTGCGGATTTAGCTTCTGAGAGGGGGTGAATTCTTCTAAGGAATTGTTCCTGCAAGATTCAGCCCCCTTTGCTGGGCCTGTGTTTTGGATTCAGTTCATTATTAATACATTAAGTAATAATTGAATGGGATACATGGTTTATTTGGAATCCTTTCTTGCCTAATGCAGTCTCATTCTCCCAGGGAAACCAGCCAGACATTTGGACTTAGCCCAGCTGTGTCATGTGGCACTGAGTTCCAGAGTCCTGCAGCTGCCAAACGGAGCTGCCAACTCTGTGAGAAAACAGCTAGACAGTTTGGTTCTGTGATTTATGGTCCTGAGAGGTATGAAAGCGATCCAAGCGAAACCACATTTGGTTTTCATTAGAGTGGTCTCTTCTTTGTTTGATTTGGCCTTCAGATAATATGTTGCCCAAAAGGCAGTCTCGGACAGAAGTGTGAACAAGGCAGCATCCGGAGAGCTGATTCAGATAATGAACATCATTAAGATATTACATTAACATGCTTAATGTCAACAGAGACAATACCGAGCAATAAAGGAATGGATGGGAAGAATATTTCTTGTGAAAGCTGTGCCCCCAGGAATCAGGTGACCAGCCCTGGACACGCCTGGGTTGCTCACTGGGGTCTCCCAAAGTGGTTCCCTCCTTGTGTTTTCATGGGGCTCTGAAAATGCCCCTGCTTTAATTTCCCTGCTTCATGCGCCTGCGTCATTATGATAATAATCATTCAAACAAACAACCAGGTGTTTAACCTGACTGCCCGTGGGGTGAAGAAAGCTCAATAAGAAGAAAGTGAGCCATGTTGCCTGTCCCCTCTAGAGCCACAAGGATGATATTGAGCAAGCAGAGCCATTGTAACCTGCAGAGGCAAACTTTGTAGCACAGGTCCTGCTGCTACACAGGCACCTTGGCCCAGGAGATCGCGGTGCTACCGCCAGGCCGTTGCTGTGGCATGTACGCTTGGCAGCTGCATCCAGACTGACTCTCAAGCTTGCAGTGGACGCAGAGGTGCGGCAGTTCGGATGGCCTGCAGCCTCTCCCTGGCTGGCTCCAGCCTTGGTCTGCTTTGCGGCTGTGCGAATGCCTAGGCGTCTGCCTGCATTTGGGGAAAAGAACATTTTGGCCTCACCTACTTCTGAGTCCCCCCGCATGGTCTCTGAAGAGAGAAGCAGCGGGCCGGGAGGCTGGCCTGCCCTTTGCCCGTTTGGATTTTCTGCTTTTTGCATGCCTCCACTCCAGGCAGCCTGTGGAATCTCCGTCTAAATAAACACGCCAATCCATTATGGGCTGAAGACGTGTTGTTTTTTCCATGTCAAACGATTCCAGACATCTTGGTTCACCAAAATCTTTCTGCCTGGTTTGGGAGGAGCAGCAAAAAGAGGCTTAAAAGGGTTTAGTCTCCCTCTCACTGCCTGGGGGGATAGAGTGAGACCCACAGGCTGATCTCGCTGTGGTTTGGGGGTTCGGGAGGGGCCGGGGAGTTCCAGGCCAGAGCAGTGCTTAGTCTGGTGTTGCGATTGACGAAAAAATAAAGCGTTTGGATCCAGGGCAGATGATTAAGGCAGAACAATTCAGCTTTAGTCCCAGGCAAGAGCCAGCTAATTACAGAAATATTTCCATTTCCTGCTCCAGAGTCCTTTCTCTGGTTCATCTTGTTGAACACAAAACCTTCTATTTGTTTACTACAGCGATCTTTGCAATCCCCCACGGCGCCACCCTGGTGCCTCGTTCTGTGCACGGTTCCTGGGGCGTGCACAGAATTGGCACTGAGGACCGGGGCGTACCTGCGGGGCTCAGCGGTTTATGCCGGGACATCAGGGGCTGGGTTGCTTGCCACTTGGAGGAAGGGGTCCTCGTAGGAAAGCCAGAGTAGATGTGGAGCAGTGCAGAACTCAGCCGGCTGTAACATGCCAAGGGGGCTGCGGGGCAAGACTGTCACCCTGTGGGAGCAGCATTCTGGAGGGGAGAAAGGAGCCACTCACGCCTCTGGCTCTGATCAGAGGCTAAAGTCGGAGAAATAGGTAGTCCTCAAAAAGAAATGGGGGGTTGCAGGATCAGAGGAGGGGGGTGAGCTCTTTGCTGTCCTTCTCTGGCCTCCCCTGAAGATGCTGCTGGATCTGAACAGCCACGCCACTTCTGACGAATGACAGATGCTTTGCAGGAAATACAAATGCCTTTAGCTCTCCCGAGTGTTTAACGTGTGTGCAGGATAGCCCTAAATTCCACAGGGGGAGGAGAAGGAAAGTGGCCCAGGCGGTGGACGCTGATTGCCTCTGGGTCTTCAAAGTAGCGGGCCTCCTCTGTTCCAGGCGGGATGGCTGCGATAGCATCGTTTGTCTTTGGGACCATTACCTGCCTGCAGTGCGTCTCCTCCAGCATCGGTGCCGCGAGATCATCCAAACGGTCCCTGCTGTCACTGCAGCCTGCATTTCTGGCACTGGGGTCTCCATGAGCGCACGTTGCGGTGGGGGGCTTCCAGAGGAAAATCCGCCCTGCTGCAAGGCTGCTCGCCCTAGCTCTTAGGTCTGGGGAGGGGGGGCCTGACATCCCAGCTGGGGTGGGGAGGTTGTGCGTCGGATTTCAGGAGCTGGGACGGGGAGGGCTGGAAGGAGGAGATGCAGACCAGGAAGTCCAAGTTGCTGCCTCTTTAGCATAGGCTTATTTTGTTTCTAAGTTTTGTGCATGACTTCGGTCATCAAGGAATGGTGGCAAAGTGGCTAAACAGGCAAAGGGAACACGGCAGTTCTGCTCGGGCAACATGGATGGGGGGCAGATCTGGATCTCTGCCAGCAGCACGTGCCCGGTCCCTCAGAGTTTGCTGCGCTGCCCCCCTTCCCGCCCTTCTGTGTCCAGGTGCAAATGCCAGCTTGGGAAGACCCCTCTCCTCAAGGCAAAGCCCCCCTCATGTCCATGTATGACACCTGCACAGAGAGAGGAGGGGCACCTTTGTTTCCATTCCTGCCGCTGATTTCTGCTGGTGCCAGTATTTGCCCGGGGGAGCAGCTGTTTGGTTTTCCATGAACTGTAGTCAGCTAAAAGCTTGCATCTTTTGGCGAGCCAGGCCACTTGTGCCTTGGACAATATAGTCCTCTCTGATCATTTGGGTGGGTCTCTTCACCCTCTCATCTGGAAGGGGAGGGGAAGGGAGGGGACGGGAGGGGCTGAGAGATGAATAGAGCAGTGGTATTGCTAGACCCCAGATTCAAGGTGGAGAGGAAAGACTCGAGAGAACACAGAGGTGGGTTGTTCTCACCTCCAAGACCCTGGAGCTGGTCCCCTGATTCTTTCCTGGGGGGCGCTTGAGTTGTTCCACTTCTTCCACTTTGGGTTTTTGACAAGAGGCCGAGTTGTACATTCCAGGACTTGGAATTATCCTGGAGAAGGGACTTGGATGGTCAGCTGGCTTGGAACAGGGAGACCCCACAGCATCCCAGCTTAGGGGTTAACCTCCTGATATTCTTTTTCTCTCCCCCCCCCCGCCCTTTGGTTCCTTAGATGCTGAGCATCACCGGCTGGGTGAGCAGAGTGGTGGTCCTTTTTGCCTCTGTGCTCGCAACCGCATCCATCGCCATGCCAGGAGAGTGGGGAGAAGAAGGTGAGCCCCGCATTCGGCCAGGGCTGGGGGGGCTGCCTGCCAAGGGCAAAGGGGGTATGTGTGTCACTTGCTGGGAGTCCATTCTGCATGGATGCAAGATGCAGATCTTTCTGGGGCTACAGATGGGGGGGGAAGGGAGCAGATTCATCCCCCCAAATAGAATACCTTAATGATCCTGCCCTGGCGACGCTTCCTCCGACGCCCCGGCCCCTTCAGGCTGTGCCAAGAGCATCCCGGTTGCTGCTCCCAAGGGCTTAAGCCAAGGAGAGAGGCTGGAGGCCAGGGCTTGGGCTTTGCCCTGGTGCCCCAGCTCTGCCCTCAGAGTCTGGGGCTGCCAGGGAATCTGCTGGCCTCCACCTGCAGCTTTACAGGCAGCCCAGACGGCATTAGGGCCCCCCTGCAGCCTCCCACCCTCCCCTCCCGTTCTTGCAACCTCTTAAAGGCCAAACTGCTGCCCAAAGCCTTTGGACTGGGTGGCTTGGGCACCGATGCCCACCTTGCCTGTTGGGGCAGCTGAATCTGCCTGGCCTCCTTGTTCCCAACGCAGCGGGTGAGCCGTCTGGAGTGGACACGGATGCGCTATGAGCATCGGGGCGGCTCAGGTTGGGGAGCAGGTGCCCGAATTGGGCCAGAGCTGTCAACTGGCCCCAAGGTTGAAGGGCTTTTTCCCTGTTTGCCAGCACTGTCCGAGGTGACGAGCCTGGTGGAAATAGGCAAGAACCATTACCTGGGCAAAGGGGCTGCAATGTTGCTAAGTCTGAGAAAGGAGATAACCTTCGGAAGCGGCCCAGGCAGACGCCTCCCCAGTTCACTGAAGCAGGGGAGGAGCAGCACAATCAGACTTGCACGATTCTGCCGTTATAACCAATCTCAGCAAAAGGAGCTTCCGCCTTCTGGTGGAGTTGCCTTCCTGTTCTGGCTTACTCGGTGGGGCTGACATTGAGTGTCATGTGGGGACCAAGACGCTTCTTGCCTCATTAAGTCGCCCGGCTGCCTTCTGGCAGAAACAACGCCCCCCCCCCGTAACGAGGAGGGGGGGTTCTCTGGGCAGGGCCTGCAGGGCCCCAGGCGTAGGGCCAAAGACGTGGCTGCGCCTCCTCCGGCAGCCTCGGGACCCAGAAAGCAGCCCCGCGCCAAATCTCACGCTCTGGGGCTTCTCTTCCAGGGGTGACGTATGGCGAGCTGGGGAGCGACATGGCCCTGACATGTCCCGGAGCAAGTCCGAGGTAGGTGCTTGGGCAGGCCGGATCCTGCTCCCATCTGGGCAGTCGTGCCCAGGTCTGTACAGCAGAGGGCTGGAGGTTCCCCGAGGTGATCCCTAAGGCAGTTGTGGGTGCCTTGCTGACAAACTGCAGCTGCCTGCGATGCAGCATCCTGCACCGGGTCTGTCCCAGACCCCCCGCCCTTAACATCCCTTTGCTTCTTAAGAGGCCGGAGGCCCAGCAGAAGGAAGCCTGGGAGCCCTCGTGCTCTCTGAGCCTGGGGGGTTGCTTGCAGACGTTTCATCACCCAACAGGGGAGCTTCATCCGCGCGGGGGCGGGGGGGTTGCTCTCTGTTCTATGCAGGAGGCTGCCCTGCCACTTTGGGTGGGGGCGTAGTTTCCTCCTTGGTGGTTCCTTGATTATTGTTTTGGTGGTTTGTCTGGTGTTAATCCCTGCTTATCTGTATTGGGCTGCTGGAGGGGTGTTCTGGTCTTTTTGTTCCCTACCTAGGTTTTTTTAATTGTCTCTTTCGAACGGTGTGTAAATGTGGTTTACCTCTGTGGGACTATTAGTGGCGGATTCATCTGAGTGCCAAGCTTCCAGGAATTATGTAGCATTTGGGGGTGTATACCCCCACCAACACTGGCAGGGCAAGCCAGTGTATACAGTGGTATCTCGGGTTACGAACGCCTCTGTTAACGAACTTTTCGGGTTACGACCAGCTCCGGCCGCA